AAACTGGTTTTGCTGACATTACACAGTTTAAGCAGGTTTTTGGCAGAGGCAAATAATCTTTCCTTTTCGCTTTTCCTTGTCTTTGGTAGTTCCGGGTCTCAGCAGTCAATTAAGTATAGATTTATTAATTAATAATATCTAGATTTTAATGTAAAAATGTAAAACAATAGTAAAAACCATATTTTAACTCTATTTATGAGTGTTATGGCATTGTTCTGCTCACTTTTGCAAATAAGCCTTTCAAAACTTGAAATGTGTAACAATGTCGAACTTGCATAAAGTTGACCTTCATTGAAGCAACTTTAAATGGTAAAAAATGAAAAACCGCCTCTCAATTAAATTTTTGAATTTATAATTGAGGCCGTATTGCGCAATTTATGATAGTTTTGAGACGGGCTACATCTCTACCGTCCTATCGACTTTTTCATTTAACATAAAGCTGTCATATGTAGACGTACACATTCTTGTAAAAAATAAAAACTTGTGGCGAACTTTATCTGCTACTTCTCAAATAGCAGCTCCAACATAAACGCCAGTTATATCTCACTCACCAAGATATGCGGCATTCCGATTCAAATAGAACTTCCAATCTATTTACTGTATCTGGCGTCTAAGGCAGGGCCTACATAAGGCTTACTGACGAGTCGAATAGGTAGGCCCGAAACAAAACGCATGGTGCTTCAACGCGCGCCATAAACTGATGTTGTGAAGTGAGGGTCTGAAGTGAATCTGAATAACAGCTAATTACCGTGTAAAACTCATGTAAAGATAGATATTACAGTTTAGATAATTACTTTCACTCGATTGCAATCGTTCTATTCAGTCGAAACACTGTAAGTTCGATTTAATTAAAATTTAGCGAAATAAATTCATTTTACGAATACTTACAATGGTCAGTAATATTAATCAGAGTGCATAATCTCATCATATAAATTTTATATAAGATAAGAAACTATCTCTGTTGAGACCAACTGTCTTATTTAATTATTGCATTTCGATGAAAGTTAGCAAAATAAAATTTATTTCATATTTTAAACGTTCGCATACAAAAGAAATACGTCATCAAATAAGTGCTTATCCTTCATATCGACAACCACAAAAGCCGATACGATATCACTACGATCACAGACTACATACTATTGACTACGATATTTGCAGGATAATGTTGATAGGTATTAACCTCAAAAAATGTAGATATTTTTTTAGCTTTAAATAAATAATTAACTTATTTACTGTACGTAACTTGTTCAGTCAAATGTTGGATACCGTTCTACCCACTTATAGGTAAGTGGTAAAGTGTACTTAAATTTAATTATCGTTCTCTTTCATTTACCGTTATTTGATTATTATTTGGTTTTCAGTCCTTATATAATGTATTCTCGAAGTTCTTAAGCCACTCCGGGGCTTGTTTTACCATTAGAATCACAGTCATTTTGTTGTAAATTGTGTTAGAATCATGTGGGCCAATCCAATCTCCATATATTGGAATTGAGACATAAGTACCTGCCATAGACCCGATTGAAACATTTCGTCATCTTTCGGTCACTTATTCGTTAATGGGAACTACTGAGGGGGTGACTACACGAAAAGGTTGTACTATTTGTTAAGTAAAAATGCGTGCTTATTTGCCCTTTCTCGGCGTTCTGGTAGAAAATAGAAACGCCGATAAACTAGTAAGATTCAGACAATTTACACACCCGAGAATCTTAACAATTACCACCACTAAGCTTTCTGTAAACAGCGTTCATACGTACTTTGCTCAGTCCGATCTTTGTCGATATGAAGTAATTCAGTGGGACAGGAAAAACTGGGCAATGCAACATGGCTATAATTTTAAAAAACCACCTCTTCAGATTCCTACCCCAAAGTCGGAAGTTTGAAAGATTTAGTTCCTTCTGTGAGACATGTACCTGAAGAATAATGAACGAAATCTAAAATATTCGCCAGGGCTTCATTCTAAAGTTTCATCTCAATTAACAAGATAAAACTTGAATTTTAAGCGAATTTATTTCTTTCGTCATAGTTAAACTGTTATACTGTGCAGCATGCTATTATTTTCTTTCGATTTCCTTCTCCTATGCATTTATATCCACAACGTTTCTACTAAAAAATATTTTTCGACCATAAAATACAATAAGTATTCCGTATGTAACTGAAATGAATTCTTCCAGCCACCTGAAAAATTAGGATGAGCACAACTGAAAATGATTGCAAGACATGGACACCCTGTGAAGATGTTCTCGAAAATTTTGCAAACCGTATATACGCAATAGTTATTCTAAACTGCCGAATCAACTTAAATATAGATCACAGGCAGATACTTAATTTATGGTCACATGGTAAGTGATAATAATTCATGGATAACGAATTGCAAAATCTCTTCGACATAGTTAACGTGTTAGAGTGTGGAACAGTTAAAAAATTATTTCAGCAAAATTAAGAGTAACCGTGGACGGAGGCACTGAAAAATGGCTAAACTGGTTGCAGGCTCATGAATCTGACGAGTACGTTAGTATCGCCCCAGATTTAATAACTGGGGACTTGGACTCAGTTTCATTAGATGTGCTCGAATATTTCAAACAAAGAAACTCCCAAGTGATCCACACACCGGACCAAAATGAAACTGACTACACGAAAGCCTTGAGGGAAGTCCAAAAGTATTGTAGCGAAAAAGAAATGAACGTGAGTGTTATTATTTATCTATATATCAATGACGAACTCTTTCTGTCTTAAATACATGTATTTGTAGAAACTGGTGCTTTGTTTAAGATGCTCTTTACTAAATTTCATATATTTTTAGTATCAATTAAGGATACATGAAACGAACATTTTTTCAGATAGACTCCGTATTTGTGTTGGCTGACACATCAGGCCGGTTTGACCAAATAATCGCCAATATAAACACGTTATTTAAAGCTGCTGTATTCATGAAAGATACAAAAATCTATCAGATAGCTTCAAATTCAATAACATTTTTATTGCCTCCTGGAAATCACAGAATTAGTATTCCAGAAAGTTTAAGAGAAAAACAGGAATGGTGCGCTCTAATGCCATTGGGAGCACCATGTATGGCTACTTCTAAGGGCTTAAAGTGGAATTTAGGTAAAATTGATTCATTTTAAAAAATTGCTATCTGGCACTTCGTAAAGTTTTTTTTAGATCAAACTAGATTAACATTTGGAGAGATGGTAAGTACCTCGAATACTTATGATGGAGACCCGTACGTAACAGTCACTACAGATGGATATATCACATGGTCAATGGGCATTGAGGCTATATTATAGTATTCGGAAAAAACAAACTCTCGGCTTTGTTACGGGTGTTTGTTGTTGTAAAGACAAATTTTTAGGGAACTGTTATATTGCGCTAAAGAGCATTTACATTTAGGATATTACATAAAAGAATTGATAATTTTATATGAATGTGTATTCAGAGGCAGGGGACCATGAATGCTGTATTTTGGTCAATTTTGTTGTGGATTAGGGAAACGCAAAGAAAGTCAACATTTTTCATTTGTGGTTTTTGATTTCTAATATCTTTAATTACATATAAAAGTTCGAGATTTTTCAGTTAAATTAGGACTTCAAATAAGTTCCAAAGTATACTTAATAATGCTGTACATTATACTGAAACTTATAAAATACTGTGATTTTTGGCATATTTTTAGCTACTAATTGTTGAAAATAAATTGTTTTTTACTTATGTCTGGGTTTTAATTTTGAACTATATTCTCTATAATATATATATATATCAGAAATTATTGCTGCCATTGGATCGTAGTCTTATTATTATTATAGAAGCATCTAAAAGCATTGAAAACAAATTGCAAATTAGATGCAATGCAGAAAATGCTATACAGTGCATCTGAAAATTATGGAGTCTATATAATTTTTATTAAAATGCCTGAAGAGTATCTCAAATTATTAATCCAAAGATTATACAGAATGCTTCGTTAGCAAGCAATAAATATAAAAATTAAACGGTTGCAACATAACTAGGAAAGGAAAACCCACATAAATATTTGTATTCCTATAATTTTAAACTTAAATTCAACAGATATATCACAAAGAGGAGCATCATATACAACAACCAAAAAAAGCATTCTATAGAACTGTAATCAAGCGCAAAAACTTGAATTATGTGATCGAAATATATTTGAAAATCAACTTTCTTTATTGCTGCTTATCATTAGTAAGTCGCTATGTGCTGTGCACTGTGCAGAAATATATCAAATTGATAATGGTAATACTTGAAAAAGCCTTCTGTGGGTGATATGATTTCGACTTAATATCACAAAAATCAGATTATCTAGGATGGAAAAATAAAATACTCACCTCTACAATTTTGAGCAGTAGAATTTTTCTTCTTATCTTGAAGTTTAAATATCCGACCATAGCAAAATGATACGGCTATTCGTAAGAAACATTTTGCGTGTAGCATTCAATCTGAACAAAGAGTTAAACTGACCTGAACATGATACAAATGGACATAAATATTAATTCAGCCATAATATTTTGATCTGGTGGATCAATAAATTATATTACTAGGAGGATTTTTAGTACATGACGAAGAAATTGCTTCTTCAAGGTTAGTGTCAAGTTTGTGGTAGTTGGCAGAATTTGGTCTTCTACCAGATCTTCCATTTCTTTTGCCTCTTTTTCCTTCGAGAAGAAGAGCAAGAATCTGAAAGAAGGCACTTTAAATAAAACATATTTGTCCTATAAAAAAGTTAAACAGGCTAACAACATAATTGAAACGAACCTTATGTCTATTGTGATATCCTACATATCCAACTATAACCAGGCACATAGTCACAGAGAAATAAGAGAAGAAATAGGAATCTCCATCCATGCCGTCTTCTACAGGGTTCATATTGATTATAAGCTCATCATCGAGAGTGTTAGGCTTTCCTTTAGATGATATAGTAGATGACTGTTTTAACGCTGTGAAAGTAATTAAAGCATAAAAGTTTTTACTAATAACAAGTTCCTTTGTAGATTAGAGTTTTATGAATAAAACTAAGTTTCTCCACACGAAAATGTTTAGAGAATTATAAATGTTTTAGCACTATGATAATCAATTAATACATTATATAAATTGTTGAAAACAAAAATTCATCTAAACTTATATTGATATTAAATTGTATTCGTTTGCATGATATTACGTAATGATAGGCTGTAATTCCGAGGGTGGAGTCCCGAAGTAAATTCAAACCCAAAAATTGGTAAATATAAAGATATTTGCTGGAAAAGGTGGTATTCAAAGAGGGTAATCTAGTCAGTGTTAAGTTGGTGTCTAATTGCAATACTGTGTAAGTAAGCCAAATTTCAAAACAATCGAAAAATTGAGACTTTTTCAGCTTTGACCTGATATGGTTTGCAAAAAAGACTTTCTCAAATAATTACATGTTGAGGACTCTAAATTTCAAATCACTTATTTAAATTTTAAAATGAAAACGTTTTAATTCGATAAACTTCCTAATATTATGTGTATCGTTTCAGATTTTCTACACCGTAAAACACGTCCGAAATATGGTGCTATAAATAAGATGTTTACATCATTCAATTGAATACATTATTCTGAAGATAATAAACGTTTTGGATTAAATGATTTGGGAGAACAATTGTATATTTCACGTAATAAAATCATGGTTTTATTGTTTCCAGTATTTGGCTCCTTTGTTGTTGGCGAAGAACTTGAGTTTTAAAATTCCGCATTAATGTGTTTCTACATCAATGTAATAAACTCTAAAAACTATTCAAATAATGTCTAACCAAAGCAATATTTGAAGAAATTAGCAAGCCAAGAATAATGGAGATTTAAATAAGTTTGGGAATAGCCATCGATGTGAAAAAATATTAACATTTTGATAGGTTYTGCTGKTTAATCTAGAACAGAATTTTAAAATCAAACTCACTGGATTTTGCTTTTCCTAAATCAACATCAGATTCTGCAGGAAAACCATTTTCATCTGGCTGCTCACCTTGGTCTTTGTCATCATCTTTAGTATCACTATCACCTGGTGCTACTTCATCACTAACATCGACTGCTACTCCGACATCACTTTAAAAAAATTTAAAATATTTTATTGATAATGATGAAACATGATCTAATTTAGTGTTTATTTTTTTCAGATTTTTCCTTGTAGTTTTTAGTTAAAGTTGTTCACACTAAACTCACTAAGGGGTTGCTTAAAAAAATTGTATACAAGGTCACAAATACTCAAGTTCTCTATGAAGCTGAATTTTCTTATCACGGATGCCATGCTTTTGGAGAGTGTTTGGGCCACTGGCTTGGCTTATAGTGACTCAGCTTTAAATCATGCCATTATTTAATTACAGAAGAAAACATGATATTAAAAAAACTAAGTTTTTTATTGCTACAATATTTACAATCTGTAGTTTGAAAATATATTAAAATGGTTTATAAAAATATACAAATAAGTTTTTACTAAAACATTTGATTTATTATTCATATTACTTTTAAAAAGTATTGATAATTTCACGGGGTTTTTATGCAATAAAATAATTTTCTGTTATTAACGTTAATGTTTGTCATAAATCTGAAAACATTCTGGAACAATTGAAGATAGGCATTGCATTGCACGTGAGATACGTATGACTAGATATTTGTGAAAACTACTAACTTTCACAATATACTTTGTGGGTGCTTCATTTAGCACTAAAAAATGGTTATAGCCACTGATATGACACACTCTGAATAAAAAGTTTAGGATAGAAAAAATGCGCAACTGAAAATGCCAATCGGCGTGTCCGATCGTCTTTTCCATCACGCCAGAATTTATTTAAATTCGATGAGTGTATCAGCTAGAGCAACCCTGTTCTTTAGTGCGTCGCAGTGCAATGTCGCAGTAACCATGAATTTTATATGAATGTGTCCTATGAAGGTTTTGGTGTATAAAAAAGGACGCATTTTAAGATTAGTTTCCAATACAGTACGGGATTTGATCAAAATAAACATTAAATTTTAATTTTTTAAATTTTAAGGATAAAACACCACCACATTTAGATACAAAAATTTATATCAGAAAACCCAGAACAATACATCAGAAAACCCCAAAAAAATTGGGGGGTTTTGTTTGAAATAAGCTAGTTATTGAGGATTAAAGACAATCCAACTTTGGAGGCTCAATGGGCGGTTTCTGGAGAACTTTTTATAAATTAAAATACGTGTAAGCACGTAGCTTATTAGATCCTCTTGGAGCTCCAGGAACCTAATATTCAAATTCGCAGTGATACGGTACCGTTTATGATTTCTGTGGAACCAGCAGATGTACAAATTTTTATTTATTTTCTGAAAATTTTAATGTAAATCCGAAAATGGAAAAAAACCCAATACTTTCGTATATTGAAATAATATTTTTAAAAGCGCACCTAGGGTACTTACTCAATTACCGAAAAAATTAAAGTAATATAATTTACTGTTTTAAGTTTAAGCTTTTTTATTGCAAACAAACATTCGTAAAAGATGTATTTTGTTGCAATATGCAAATAAAGCAGGCTTTTACTGGACATCTTCAATATTATATTATATTACTGAAGACATTTATAAATGGAACAACTACCTCCAAGAAAGAGTTTCACTCTTGGCGTTTAAATAAATAGGTAAGCCTTTAAAGACGTAAGTTGAAGCCAATTGAGATTTTAAACCGATCCTGAGAGAGTTTACAGTGGCACACACATAAACCTTAGTATGTTTATAAAAGCAAATTGTTTACTTAGATGTCAGGGTACTTACTTATTTTGAATATTCATATTCTGTTCACCTGGGTCTCCAACAGAATTATCTTCACTTTTCACATTCTGGTTTTCATCATCAGCTGCATTTTCTAACGAATTAGGCACAATGAGCTGCGGTTGAACAGCAGGTGCATTCTCTTCTGGTTTAGGTACAGGTTTTACATCAATGTTTGATTTATTAACTATGGGAGATTCCTGTGCTTTAACAACATTGTCTTTATTCGCCTCAGGCAATTTTGGTATTTCACTATCTACGGGACCGCGTACACTTTGGTTCAACGGTTTAAATGCGATCACTTTTATTGGTCCGGGAAGTGTTTCGTTTTTGTGTTGTGGTGCTGGAGAGGACCTAATGTTTCCATGCAACTGCATTCGATTACTATTTAATTCTTTCACATCAATTGACTTGAAAAAATATGCAAGCTTACAAATATCTGTAACTTCAGGTCCATTGCTTCCAACAATGCTGCATATTAACACACAATTAAATTTTTTCATTAAGTGTGAAACATTATTTGGAGTGCTTTCTAGGGCAGGTAATCCTGTTTCATCATTGCATACTTCTGATAAATCACACTTCATGTCGTTAGAGAGGGATATGAATCCTTTCAACTTCACTACTTCAAGGCTTTCTAAGTTTGACGAACAGAATTCCATAATACTTTCGTATAAAACTTTGCATCTGACATAGGGAAGTTCCTTCTTTGTGAGTTCTGTTGTAGCATTGATAGCCGTAAAATTTGAGCACTGATTATCAAACAAATCTTTCCAGTTCTTATATAGATCAGTTACTCCTAAACTGGGACACTTGCTGACCACAGCCTCATATAATGTATTCTGGGTTGTCTTGTTCTCTGATGGGGCACAAACACTGCGACTTGGTATAATTACGCACACTAGTATGCAAAAGATCCACGTTTGCAACATTTGTTTATACATTGTTATTTTTGTTTAAGGTTTGGTTGCCATAAATAACTATTGCCACACGCTCAGGATCTTAGATCTTACTAAAGTAAGTGGTGTTGGAGTATTCGCAGCACAGTTATACAGTTTGCGTTGATTTCTGTCGGTTTGTATCTAAATAAAGTTCACGTTATTGACCAAGATCCTATGGTTCAAAAAACAATTAAAATGAATTTGATTTGACGTTAGTATTGCCACTTTACCGGTGACAGCCGGTGATGCCATATATAAAGCTCGAAGCAATTAAATTAACTAAGGTAAGCGCGTATTTGTTCCCGTCGGACGGACGGATCGAATGATAATTAATATTTGCATTACTTTAAATTAAATAATCCTCATATGTACGATAAGTGTGTATCGTATGCAATTCATATTTATGTTATATACATGTTTATGTATATTTTATACACTATACATATTTATGTATATTTATTTTAATGTAACAGAGTACCTTGGAAAACATTCTTACCGAACTTTTGATCTAGTTTCGCACATATCTTAGTTTGTGATAAGAATTAATTAAATAATAAATATTTTTCTTATACTCCCTCAACACCCGCAGACAACACATTCAGACGAATCACGCCAATTTTGAAATATCGTATTTAAATCTCATGATTTTGCTAACTATATTTAGGACAAGATCTTGCCTTCAGATGACAAAAAGATCGACTTTTTTGTGATCTCCTAGTTCGAAGTTTTTAGACGTTGTCTCCATAAAATGTCCATGATAATCACGTCGATATGACGTGATTAAATTGGGGGGAGGGGGACTTTGCCGTACACATAGAGTAAGTAAAATAACTAAAGTAATATTTTACTTTCTCTATGGCCGTACATACCATGTCGTTTCTACGTGATTATCAACATCTGTCAACTGGGGAGCTTATTTAAAATAATAAACAGTTTCTTTTAAATTATACTTTGTATCGAGGTACTGTTTAGATTAAAATTCTAACTTATTTAAACTGTTTCTTATAATTTCCATATCACTATCCGAGTATTCAGGTTCTTCACAATCGTCCCAAAATTCATTTGTTAAAAGATTCAATTTATCAATAGGAAAACAGTGTATGGAAGTGTCGTTAAAAACATCGAAATATGTAAAACTATTGACAATGCCCAGTTCCAACACATTAGGCGAAATGTTATTGATATATTTCGCAGACTTTTTCAAAACCCTCTTAGAATTATCTTCAACCACCTTGTTTATACTATTTCCTATTATAATACATTTGCTAAGACGCAAACCCCAATTGCACCACAATAAGTTATTCATTAGCTGTTTGGGACAGTGAGGAAGGTAAAACAGGTATGTCTCAAGAGTGTCGACTTTAAATTTACCTTCGATGTTTCTTTCTAACCAGCCGATTTCAAAGTGTTTGAGAAGGGATAAATCGTTGTTATTAAACATGGGGTCGGTTACCAAAACTTCCACATTGAACAATGCCTTAAGGCACAATAGCAAAGCTAGCTGGTAACGGGGTACCATTAATTCGGATATTCTTCCTAAACCAAAGCAAATTATTTTTCTAATTTCTGGATCATTTAGCTGCTGCAAACCTTCCTTGAGTAGTGCGGATACAGACTGGAAAAAGTCGGTTGATTGCAACTCAGTTTTGGCTTCATTAATTCTCCTAAAACATATTTGTTTAAAAAACAAACATACACAAATGTGGCAATAAACCTAATATTTGAGTCTACATTGAAGACACTGCAGTCTTTGACGATAGCTAGCGGCTGCTTCTTCGCCTTGCCCCTACGTTTGTAACTAACTTTCGTAAAATCATTTTGGGACCTAAAGTTCATTGAAAATTTGGAAAAAATATTTGTAGGTTAGTTCATTTGACAAAATATAAACAACAATAAGAGATGGGAGTTGATAAACGTCGATATTACGAAAGGATAGTGTTCACTTGACATTTATAAAATTTATTCATTTAATTTAAATAATATTGCAATATTTATCTGAGTATGCTTATATCGACAACAATGAAAGGAACAGCGTGGGGACAGCGTTGCTAAGCGGTCGAATATTTTAATTTGTAAAGTAAATTTCGGTAAAAACAAAAAAATAGTCCAATTCAAACTTGACCTAATAAACTGTGTTTTGATGATAATGGACTAAAGATTCTCATTTTTTATTATTTATGTCGTTTCGATGAGAAGATGTAAATTATTTAGCAATTTTACTGTAGGCCATGCGAGAACCACTCCGTAAAGTATCGCTCAAAAATGTCAGTCGTCAGTCTTTATGTTAGGTTAAGTCGATTTTTAAATAGCGAGCTGGATTATCTATAAAAAGATTGAATTTTCCAGCTAGAAAACTGACCAATATGAGTTTACTATCTTTTATAGATAAGTTAGACGATCAATGTATTAGATATGTAATAATTCTTTTATTATGGGCAGATTATATCTGGGAAACTTATTTATCCATTCGACAGGTGAGTTCAAGATATGCTTTATTTTGTTTGGAGGTCTTGGAATTATCAGTAATAACCAGCAGCAATGCACAAAGCTTCAGTCATATATCCACTTTTGATCACTAACTTTATTCACCATTCTTTATCCAAAATTTTCTGCAATTATTTTTATGAAGCATTTTACCATCTAGCATAACAACATACAACATAGTTTATATCTGAAATTTTTCAAAATATTTTAATTGCTCAAGTTTGTCGAGTGGGCATATGCCTATAATCATTATAAACATCATAGCAGCTTGTCTCGTCCACTGCTGGACATAATTATTCGACTTAAGCCTCTCTTAACCCAAGCGATTTTGCTCCGGCTTGTGCATCTTGGATCCAATATTATTTTGAAATCGTCCGTCCAAAGACCAAAGCACTAAGTGCATGTTAATTAAAATAATCTATTCCTTACAGTTTGGTGTAGCCAAGTCGACAGTGCAAATCCCACATCAACTAAAAGATGTGATGAAAAACGACGAATATGAAAAAGCTAGGAACTACAGCATAGCCAAACTTAAATTTGGTTTTGTGAAACAATTCCATTCAATCATTATTAACACTGTAGTAATACATCAGGGAATTCTGGCTGAAATTTGGCGGTTTACCGAAGGAATCAATCCATTTATGGATGAAGTGTCAACCAGTTGCATTTGGCTAGTTCTTTTGCAACTAATGACCACATTGTTAGATTTGCCATTTACTATCTATTACAATTTCGTATTAGAAGAGGCATTTGGGTTCAACAAGCAAACAGCTGGATTCTTTGTTTGGGACAAGATCAAGCAATTTTTGGTCCTTCAAATAATCACTACAATGGTGGCATCGATTGTGATTGTGGTAGTTAAAAATGGTGGAGATTTCTTCTTCATATATCTCTGGGCGATAGTTGGAGTTCTCACTCTTGTCTTGTTAACAATATATCCTGCAGTTATTGCTCCGTTGTTTGATAAATACAATCGACTTGCTGAGGGCGAATTAAAATCAGACATTGAAGCATTAGCAGCCAGTCTTAAGTTTCCATTGACAGACTTGTATGTGGTTGAGGGCTCAAAAAGATCGTCTCACAGTAATGCATATTTCTATGGCTTATTTAAATCAAAGCGGATTGTTCTTTTTGATACCCTTCTCGCTAAAGATGATGGGAGTGGTTGCGACAACGATGAAATTTTGGCCGTGTTATCCCATGAGCTTGGCCATTGGAGTAGAAATCATAACATTAAAAACTTAGTCATTGGTCAAGTAAACTTATTTCTTCTTTTCACTGTTTTTGGTGTAACTTTCAAATATCCAAAGTTATACACCGCTTTAGGTTTTTACAGAAGTAAGCCAGTGCTTGTTGGTCTTTTTGTTGTTTTGCAGTACGTAATGATGCCCTACAACACAGTTTTATCATTCCTAATGACTGTATTGTCTCGAAAATTTGAATTTGAAGCTGACGACTTTGCTGTTCAACAAAATAAAGGTGTTGCATTAGAGAGATCGCTGCTTAAGCTTAACAAAGATAATTCCGGGTTTCCTGTCCACGATTGGCTGTATTCTGTTTGGCACTTTTCTCATCCTCCTTTACTACAGCGTATTGAAGCTCTGAGGGAAAGTGTTAAGAAATTCGAGTCCAAAGAAAAGTGAGTCATCACATCCACGAAAAGCACAATAATATCTGTGGTTGATTCTTGCATTTGTAGTCGTAAATAAAAAAAAATTAAGTTAACTAATGTTTCATTCTACACATGTGAATTACACTGGTGTAATTAATAAGTAGGTGTAATTTTTTTTCGAATGAAACATCCGTATTAGCGAAGAAATAATGTTTTTTTCGGTAACTTCAATCAGAAACTTTCAAGAATTGAAACTGATGATTTTTTTATTAGTGTAAGGTAAGCTTGTTTGTGTAAAATAAATCATGAAATTAAGTGGTGTCAGAGTTTTTTCTGTAGAAGTAAATCTGTTTCTCAGATTGATAAATTCCACTTTCACATTCCCTCGCTACACGTAGCACGTTAATTTTCTCACACGGCATATTACTTTTATTACGCTACTGGATCAGTAGTTTTGATTTTTGTTGCTTTCGAGTTTACAGTTATTTATACACAGTATGATGTAATAATTGGAACTATTTGTTACGTTAATTACCGAACTAAAAATGACGCATTTTCTAAATGCAGTACTATTCTCCATTTTAACTTAGTTTGTGAGTTTTATATAAGAAATTTGTAGGTATTTTTAATATAAAGTTAATATGAACAGGGGGTTAAAGTGCTTCGTTTCCGATCTACAGGTTGTGAAAGTTTACAAGACTTCTTCATAAGTTACCTCTTATTTTTTTCCAATACCTGTCGGTACCAACTCGGGCCAATCCAAAATAACAGATTTATTGAAATCAATCATCAGTCTTAGTTATATATCTATTCAATCGTAACCCATAAAGCAATCTGAGAATTGGATGTGAAATCGGAAAAAAGATGTAATTATTGTTAATATATTTTTGAGCCACCCATTATAAATGAATTTACCAGAAGAAAAAAAGCAACTAAAAATAAAAATCGAGGGGCAGGAAGGTTTATCAAAGACATTAAACTGTTAAATTTTCAAATACTTGTGGGAAAACATGCTGGACAGCTAAAAATAAAAATACTCTTATAATTGCTACTCTTGTATTTTCATACGAAACCATTATTTGACAAAAACCTGTAAGGTCCGTAACCATAAGCTGTTTTTATGGAATTAAGTAGCCAGTAAACAACACAAACTTCTATTTAGATATTGCATTATGTTCTAATTCGTGCTTACACCGTTGGTCGATTTAAACGGGGGCGCTGATAATTTCAGAATACTTCTTAATCTTACTGGCAACAGACATGTCTACATATCTATCACCAATAGAAACAAGCAAACCTCCAATAATGGAAGGATCAACTTTAGTAGTTAGCAAAATGGATTGACCAGATTTCAAGAAAGATTTCAACACTCCTTGAAGTTTGGTCTTCTGTTCGGCGTCCAGTTCTCTGGCGCTAGTCACCTCACAAACTACCTATAATTTAGTGGAAAACCGTAAGTATGTCGAACATAAGGCTAGTGTTAAACAACTTACCTCTCCTCTATGGGCTGCCATGATAGTTTTAAATGCGGTAATAACTCGATCCAACTTTATGAGACGACCGTTTTCGGCCAAAAGCTGAAGCAAATTGGCAGATTCGGGTTTAAGCGAAATTTTTGCAGATATTGCTTTTAGGGCTTCAGATTTCAATGACCTGAAACAAAGGACAAGGGCAATAATTTTGTGTAGTAGACAAACTATTCCAAAACCGTTTTGCAAAAAGTTAACACGGATGCATATCACACAAATTTATTCATCTCATTTTTCAAAAGTTCAGAGTAAAAAAATTAATGGATATTGCAAGCTTTTCTAAAGCACTCTGCATAGTTGAAAATTAACACCTGCAAAAACAACATAACTAAATCATTAAAAATGTAATAGAACAATTCGAGGGCAGTGAAGGCAGATTCCTCTCCATGTCCATGTAACTGTAATGCAAATAACACAGGACTAAAAAGAAATACAAAAAATATTCAATATCCCTATTCATTAATGAGTAGTTTATTAATCAGTACGAAACCAATAGTGAAAGAACGTAATTTAGTGTAATTATTATCATTTTATCGAATTAGTTGGAGTATGTTAGTCGAACATCAAATCACAGATCGCTCAAATACGTTACATTTTTTCCTTTTGAAGAAATTCGGCATTTCTTTGAATTAGATTTCCACTTGAAATTATTTGTATTCTGTTGTTTATAAAGCAATCTATGGCCTCGTTTTTGCGAGCCATTTATTGCTTCAAAAAGAACTTTGAAATTTTATATTTTCAAGTAAGTCGGTAATACCTTTTAATTGTTGGGTTCAGTATAAAGCTCTTGAATTTAGGATCAGTTTTCAAAGATGTCTCGAGCCCAATCAGATCCTTTTCAACACTGTCCAGGGTCTTCTTCTTGGTGGCTGCAGAATACAGGGCTGTTGCATACCGCCCTTCAATCCCAAATATTTGTACTGGAGGCTTGACCAACTGACTGGCTACTTGGCCAGTACTGAATTGCCTGATCTGGAAATAAGGACATTGGAAGTAAGCTCTATCTAAGTGATATAATGTTTTTAACCTACGGAATATTATGTAATAATTTACGATATGAATATGAGGCTGCTCGGGGTAAAATTGAGAAGTAATGCGGAAAATTACTTACGGATAGTACTTTTCGGCAAGCCATTTTAACAGAGCTTTGAATTGTTAGATGATTTATTACAATTTTTCAGAAAATTGGTCGGGATCAAAGTTTATGAACCCAAATAGCTGTCAAAATAGGGATTGTGAGGTTAGGTCAGAAGTTAAGCCACTGCTTCTGTGAGACAGTGTTGCCTATAAAATATTGATGTCGGCTAGATATCATTATACGTAAGAGAGACAGCCTCATGTGGTAAATGTAATGATTTAATAATAGTTGCCGATGCTCAACAATTTTAAGTGCTAATTGAATTTTTACGTCGTAAAATTGACAATTATTCTCTATACATCAATGTGGAAGAAGTTAAACAATATTTCTGACTGTGTTGTTAGTTTATGTTTTTTTCTAAAAACGTGGTGCACGGATGACAGAATGATCTGACAACCTCCTTGACCTGTGGTCAATTGTCAATTGCTGTCACCGCAGGGGATCGTTTTGTTTTTGTGAGCAATTTGCTAGCAGATAGGATTAAAAACTGGTTTTTAAACACTACAAGAAAATTATGACTAAAAAGCAACATAATTAAATCAAGTGAATACATATCAAAATCAATCAACTTTATCTGCCTCAGACCTACATGTATAACCTGAAAATGCTAAAGGTAAGGAGTCTCTTATGAATTTCTCACATTTAATAAAAAAGTTCCAGGGAAAAGGTCAGCTGAAATTTGAGGATAAGTGGGTTCATATGCGCCCCATTGTTTTGAAACTTCTGAAACAAGAAGCGGTGTCTCAAGCTGAGTGGCATGATCTGTTTTATGATGTACATTTGGTATGTCTTTGGGATGAAAAGGGGCCTGCAAAACTGAGGGATCACCTGCATGAAGACATAGTACAATTCATTAAGCAGGCTCAATCTAGAGTATTAGCTCAGAGAGAGGAGGAAGCATTGTTAAAAGCCTATATAGCTGAATGGAGGAAATTTTTTACACAATGCAACTATCTACCAACCCCTTTTCGGTAAGGCATAATTGAGCCATTTCCTAGATATTTATAGAGAACTCACTCTTTCGGGGTTAGTCCAATTACTTTAGTGAAACTTAAGCGTTTAAGCAAATCAAAACTACTTTCTTGTACTTCAGTAAGTACTACTCAAATCTCGAGTATTAATTTATTTGTTTTTGTTAATAGACAGCTTGAAAGCAGTCTTCAGGGCAAGACAACATCTGCCAGTTCCAGTATGCAAGGTAGCAACAACAAACCCAACAGCAGCGATGAGTGTATTGTTCGTAAATTGATGCTCGACAGTTGGAATGAAAGTATTTTTAGTGATATTAAACATAGATTGCAAGAAAGTGCTATGAAATTGGTGCATGCTGAAAGGAATGGAGAGGCTTTTGATTCCCAATTAGTTATAGGTGAGTAAACTGTTCATTTTCTATTTTAAGATAACTGTGAGTTAATCCTCCCAAATAACTGATGCACTTCCGTGACACTTTCCTTGTGTAATTATAATCCTAAACTGTGTATAGATTTTAGAGTGATTCAGAACCGGTTTTGGTCAATGGCCGAAAAATTAATCAAAAAAGCATTCTGGCTTCCACTAAAATATCTTAAGGTTTTCTACTGAAATATTACTAAGCACCTAAACGCATTCTTTGGTCTGAAAGCAAATCTGTTAAATAAATCGTTTGCCGCTTTTTCCAAAACCTTTTAGCGCATTCTGGCGTTGGCCTCATTGCCAAAACACATCGAGCGCACTAACAAAATGTCCAAAGTCCAGTGTTATATGTAGAATATTTTTGTTGGTACGATGGTACGTACATACATACAAAGCACAATTATTTCGCCTCTTTCGATGTCTGCAGTTTGGAAGAGGTGCATTTTGGGACTGTGTTGATAAGAACAAATAGGGGTTATTTAAACTTCTAAAATGCACCTTAAACAAATTTTTATTTAATTCGTGTATTTTCGACATGTTAGTTAGCTCCTTGAACTAATATTACTTATATCCTGCCCTGTAGCAAATAAATCGTTACTATTATCGCTAATATTAATATTCTCCATTCTATATCGTAGGCGTAAGAGAATCTTATGTAAATTTATGCTCCAATCCTGATGACAGATTAGAGATATATAGAGAAAATTTTGAAGCAGCTTATATTCAGAGTACAGAAATGTTTTATAAATTAAAAAGCAGTCAGTATTTGGCGGAAAATGGAGTACAAGCTTATATGAAGTATGCCGATGCTAAGCTTAAGGAGGAAGAGTCGAGAGCCCAAAGATACTTAGAAGGTAGGACAAATTATACTCTTTATGAAGATACTTGGCTGAACCTAAAAATTGGGGTCTGATCAGTTATGAGTTTCTTGCATATAGTGTTCGTAAAATCCAAGCAATTTGTTTGTGACCGGTTTCCGTTTTTGCCGGGAATATTTTGATAGATTGATTATTACAATTTCATTGGTCGCTGTACTTCATAATCGACTTTAATTGGTCATGTGGTTGGGTGCTTTATGTAGATTTATTTCCATTCCTAGAAACAACCTTATTTTTATCAGACCATGCCGTTGCATGGCGGGTATATTGAGTGCTTAATATACGCAGTATTTTAAGCTGCATTTTATTATTATTAGACAATAAAGATGGTATTTTGGCGGTTAATGTTAATGACGTCTCAAGTCCTGAAGACTCTAGTGATGAATAGGTAAGCGTACATTTTCCATTTCTAAATTTTTTTGCCACAATTACCTTGGTCATCTGTAATTAAAAAAATACATTTAATGAATAAATACACAATTAACTAAATATTTCAGATCAGTTAACTAAATTAAATAATTTATCTGTTTGCACGCTCATGTTTCACAAAGAAAACGTCGACTGTTTACCCACATTCAGTTTTAATGCGGGTTCAAGTAG